TGTGGGCGGACATATATCCGACAAAACTTTTTGGTCTTGGGTGATCAGTCCGAGTATATATACAAAATTTGAGGTCTCTGCCATCAATAGTGTCCAAAATATAGGAGAATTTAAAAAATCACTATATCTTCAGGTCCGATTTGCCACGCCCCCAACGGGCGTAGACTTATAATTTATCTTCAGACTTTATAGAATCATACCATTAGCTGACGTGCAAAATTTCAGCATTCTAGGTTTACAACTTTAGGAGATACAGTTTTATCCGATTTGCCACGCCCCCAATGGGCGTAGATATATCCGCCATAGCTCGTGATCTTGGGTGGTCAACGCGGACCTACATACCAAGTTTCAGCTTTCTAGCTCTTCAACAAACATGATTTCTGGTATATCGGAAAATGCATTTTCCGATTTGCCACGCCCCTAGTGGGCGGATCGGGAAAATTTTAACACTTTATAAATCGGAGATATACACGAGTATGTGTTCCAAATTTCAAGTCTCTAGCTTCAATAGCGCCGAAATAGATTGCGTTCATACGGACAGACGGACAGACGGACNAATGTACTGTGGGACCTATAAAAATACACTCAGTACTCGCATTACACTTTAAACAATGCTCATTTCATTCATTTGCGAACCACTGTATATCGAGAGCCCAACGAAATGGCAAACAAATTAAATTGTAATTAATCATTAGGCCGCTCCACAGCAACGGCAGCACGTGCGGAGCGGCCTTTGATAATGGCTACAGCAGTCAAAATACTCTTGCACATATATATATTTGTATACATATGTGCATGCTTGGCATCCCTAACCCACTTTTTTGGCTGAAATTGATGTGAGCTTTCGTAACAACTTCACTTGCCATGTTTGGAGGGCGTTTGCCGTTTGCCTTTGGTCGAGTGTTAAATAAAATGCATGAACGGGCAAAGTTTTTTGGGGCTTGCAACGACTTTTGACAGGCGGCGGCAAAAATTTTCCACTAGCTTTTCTTTATACATTTTCCACTCTTATTTTTTCTGCTGTAGGCAAACATATCAGCTAATTGATTTGCAAGTGGAACGCCTGCAAAACTTTATACTCTGTGCGAGGCTAATTACATAATAAATATTTAATTAAAAGAGTTGCAATTGGTTTTTGATTCAGTGGAAAAAGTTGGCAATAAGTTAAGTACTTCATCAGCTCGTGCAGCAAGTAATGTATATATATTCTATATGCATATATACATACATACGAGGTAGATAGCCAAACGGAAATGAATGTCGAATCAATCATATATGTATATTTCACCACAGCTAAAGCTCTGCCAACTCACCACAAAATCTGCGAATTCCATAAATTTCTCAGAGTATCTCGCAGTCTCCCACTCCCACCAAAATTTATCTTTATACTTAAGAGTTAAAGTTACTTATATACTTATATATGTATATATATTATACTTAAGAGTTAAAGTTAAAAACGAACTTTAATGGATTTCCCCTTGACATTTATCAATATTCATATGCGTAAGCCTCAATTGCAATCGAAGTACATTTATATTTTCCAAATGGTATACATACCAATTACCCATGATTTTTTGCCTAGTGGAACGAGTGGTCGTATGTAATTTCAATTATTCGTATATTTGCCTCAATCAAATCAGGAAGAGAGAATGCAATGGCAAAGCGAATTGCTCTGTGTGTCAATCCACTTGTAATTGCGTAATAAGGCTGGAATGCTTTAAAGCCGATTGCTGTTAACGGGTAACATGAAAGGGCAAAAGCGAAAAGTGGAGTAGGTAAAAATAAGAGAAAACTTTAAATAAAATAACATGTTATTGCACTTTTGCTTATATGAATGCGCTGCATTGCTCTGCTCTCTCTCTCTCTTTCTTTCTCTCTCTCTCTCTCTCTCTGTCTCTCTCTGTCGAGCCACCCAGCTCAGATGACAATTGCCTGGCGCTGATAAAGTCGGCGCTTTTGTGGTCGTACTTCTCACACGGACATCGTGTCCTTCGTCCTTTCGCTGCACAGATTCATGAGGAATGCAATTTAAGACCACAAAAATAATTAAAAAACTTTACGCGTCCATTATGCAGCATCCAATATGCATTTATACATATGTATGCATGCATGTGTGTATGTGTATGTTTGTATGTATATGCGTATGCATGCATGCAGGCATTCGGCTGATAAAGACTCAAAGCCAAGTCTGCTCGTTCGACTTAACGTGCTTGCTGGCCGCCGCGGTTAATGAAATTGTCTTGTCTCGACAGTGGCTACCCGCTGACATATCAGCTGACGGTCTGGCAGCACCGCTCCGACGCCGTCTTTGTTGTGCTACCTGACAGACTGTGATGGGAGCTTTCGTTCACTTCTTTCGCCTTCTTTGTGTCTGCAGAGTGCAAAAGAAAAGAAAAAAGTTAACGCAACATCGCGCGCGACTTAGCAGAGTCAAAAACGTCAAGTTCGCTCACTAGCTCTGTCCTGCTCTCGCGCACATTTGCACTTTGTCGCCATCCTCGGCCTCGTTTGCTCTTTGTCATTGCACTTCGCTTCATCCGTTGAGCTTTAAGTGCGACTTTCGACTTCTTTAATGGACATTTGCGGTAGCCAGTGACCGAGAGGAACATCATGAAACGAGGGGGGTACATTGGCAGCAGGAGGGGGAGCGAGAGCGGGCTACTAAGTTTTTTCGTCTTAGGCTGCTGGACCGGCGAGCGCTGCTCGTAAAAAACATTTGCGCAATGTCAACAAATTTGCGCGCTTATTAGATTTTCGTGGTTGCACACAATTTCGCCAACTAAGACCGCCGCGGAGAGATGAAGTGCAGCAGCGGCCCAGTAAAAATATGAATAAAATAGCGAAAACTTTCTGAAACGGAAGTGCATGCTGCGTTTTGGCTTCGGTTGACCAGCAGCAGCACTCTACCGCCCTGTCGCCCACCCACCCCCTTCAATTCCCAGCAGACAGCTGCACGCCCATGCCCACAATTCTAACGGCATACTTGCCGTCTCGGTCACGGTCGCCGCTTCTGCTAATGAGTTTTGTTGTCAGTTCTTGCTGGCCCAGGCACAAATTGGGCAGCGGCTGTTGCGACCTTCCCCCTCCCCTCCTCTCTCACCGTGGCCACTCTGTTCCGCACTTCTTGTGCCTCTCTCTCTCTTTCTATCTCGCTCTCGTTCTCTGTGCTGCCTTTTACATGAATTGCATGAGAAATTTTGAGCACAATTTATGTGTGTGTGTGTGTGTATGCGTCTGTGTGGTAAGTTAATATTTGCTGCATAAATTCCAGAGCTTTGGAATTTGCTGCGTTCGTTTCGTCCCTTTTGCGCTATTGTCGTGGGCTTCGCTTTTTGTTGTGCAGAAATTATGAAAATGCACACACACACACACGCAAATGTGTGCCCCTTTCCAATACCAAGAAAGCAGCTGCAGGAATCCTCAGCCAACCAACAGCAACAACAACAACAACAACAAATGCAACAAAAAGAAGAATAAGGCATGGTCACTTCAGCGCACCCACACTCCAAAGTAATATTAATTATATTTTGCATTTGAAGCTCTACATTCCAGTGCTTGCAATTTAAATGAGCAGATTTCATAGTTAATTTGCTTTGAGCGCAAATATTTCCATAAAAAAAAATGTAACGAATTCATTAAAAACAAGAATTTTTCTTAGCTACTTCAAGTGCTTGTGAAGTAAATATAAAGCTAAAATTAAAGAAAATTCTATGTCAGCTAATGCGATGCTAGATATTTGTAATGGGGATCACACTTCCCAGCACGATTGCCCGATCGATATGTTACTATCGATACAAAAAAAGCCCTTTACCCTTGGCAATTGGCTGAAAGGGAATTTCTTTCTTTCTTTGTAAATCTTTAAATAAAAAAAAAAAAAAATATTTTGAATTTAGGGTAATTCTTAGTCATGCTCTTCCAATTCAATAATTCGTACTTTCCATATGCACAGTCAAACGGCTCTAATGAGTAATCCCAACAGCCCACAAGCTACTCTAACAGAGCGAAAAACACGCGAAAACCCGTCAACGGCCCAAAAATGTTTTCACACAAACAAAAGCAGGAAAAGTCCCGTTGGATGCGACCAACAACTGCAAACAAAAATGTTGAAAATTATCCGCTTATATGGCAACCGCTGCAGAAATATCGCCATGAGAGTACGCGATGTATGAGTATGTATGTGTGTGTTTCGAAGAGAGAGAAAGAGCGGCAAACACGCAAATATGACACTGAATTGTTTTTGCACGCAGACAAAAAACTATTCAAATGCAATAGGTTTGAAATGGACAGCAGCTGAAACGAACGACAGTTTCAAATTTCATTTCGCACATTTACGTTGCGATTCGACCTTCTGATGGCTTTTCGCTAACCCCAATCCCAACTTGCTCCCGTCACATTCATTTTTATGTCTGGCAAATGCAAACACGGACTTCGATGAGCTGCAGCTCGCATTTACATTGTAAATTTGTAAATTTGTGAGTGATTTTTAGTGTCTGTGGCCTTTCTATAAATACATAGGTATGTGTGTGTGTATGCAAATGGAGCTAATGACTTGTGAAAAACAACTGACATTGCAGATAAAAGTAAAAAACTCTGATGTGCTTTAGTGGGTAGTCCGAAACCAGGCAATGCCTTAGACTATTTGTTCAGTTGACAATACTTTCGGTACTCATGGACCACGACCTCTCTTCTCTTTATCGAATATGCTGCTATATACACATCTGCATATGGGTATGGCATCGACCTTTTTATATCAAAATCTACGAATATCTCTCATATGGGTAGTCACTCTGTCAGTGTCTTGTCTTATACATTTGTATTAATCTAAAATATATGTACATACATATATGCTTTTCCATTTTTAATAAATATACGCGCAAAACAAAATAAGAATATATGTATATGCATAATGTTCATACACACAAACATATTTTTTATTTAGTTTGAATTTAAGCTTTTAATATTTTTCTTTGTTTTCTCTTGGAATTAGCCATGTACATATTTAAATAATTTGTGTGTGTGTGTGTGTTCGTGTATGTGGTTGCGCGAGTGTGTTGGCGCAACGGCTCTTCTCATTGAAATAACTAAGCCAAAAAAGTTTCCTCTACTCCGGGCGGTGCATTTCGACATTTATGAGCATAAACTGGATATAGAAAGTTTTACTTTCATGTATCAAAAATAAAAGTTGACCAACAAGAAGAGAAACAATAAGAAGTAGGAAAAGAGCTAACATCAACATTGTTGCTCATTTGGAATAGTTGATGGAGCTTTGGTATAGCAGCTGGAACTCATTTTCCCAGAGCAATTTGAAATTAATGTCGCCGATGCTCAGCTCTGTATCCACAGATCTTTCAGCATCTCTATGCCGGAAGAGAATGGGCATTATAAAGGTGATTGCCTGCTGGGTGTGGCGCGGCATCGACGAGAGCATCACAAAGATAAAGCCGTTGTTAAAGATGGCCAGCTTAGTGGTTGAGTTGCGAATCTTGAAGATTAGATATGGCTCTGTTTGGGGCTTGTAGTCGCACTCCTCACAGTACTCCAAGCTTAGCAGTGCCAAATCGATCCAGAATGGCAAACAGAACGTCGCATTGACCACATTGAAGCAGGGATTTTGAAACACGAGCGAATACCCTAAATGCTCTATGGTGCCAATGAGACGACGTATGCCTAGAGCGGCGCTTTTGTAGGAATAGGCCTTGGAGCAGATGTTGCCATTATCGTAAAGCCGTAAGCTGCACGTCGGATTCGAGAGCCGTATGAACAGAGCCGAGTGCTTTTCCGGCTCATAGCGTGTCTCCGACAGAAAGTAGTCCAGATCAGAGAGCTTAAAGTGGCAGTTCGTGGCCACAAAGCAAGTGGAGGGACTGCAAGGGATATATTGTATAGATGTCTTAAAATATGTATTTATCACAGCGGACTTACCGATATAGCATATTCAGATAACGCTCTATGGTGCTCAACTTTGATATCTCCGCATAGATGCTGATTATATCGAAATCCGAAACCGGCGGTTTCATATCGACTTTTTTACACTCCATCTCATCACTAATACTACGGTTAGTGATCTCATTTAGCTCTGATTCCTTCATTTTATTCCCATTCTCATTCTGATTATTATTCTCATTTTCATTCTCATTTTCATTCTTATTCTCATTTTCATTCTCATTCTCATTCTTATTCTCACTCTCACTCTCATTTGATTCATCAGCTTTATTTTCTTCTTGTGAACCATCTCCATCTTCTTCTTCGCATTTAGCTTTTTTTACTATTTTATGATCTTGGTGTTTCATGTTAGATATTTTCACTGGCAATCTTAACTTGGCTATAAAGCGTCCACGCATATTAGGTTGACAATTTTATCAATTCGCAGCTAAACGTTCTAGAAGAATCCGCTTTCCTCCTGACTACAGTGTGACCAGCTTTGTGGAGTTAGTGCTTGCCATACTGAAACTTGGTATATTTATAAGTTATCAAAAAGCTATGCTAACGATATATATCGCTTAGCCAATGGATACATTTTATATTCTGCAATAAAAATAATTTAAAAATTTATTAATATATAATTTATATATTTTGCTTGAATTGCAGACCTTTTATATGTATATATATTTAGTTAAAAAAGGTCTATATATTCATCAACACCTTTAGCCACATCGATATATTTTTCTGCTTCAAATCGCTCAGCTCTAAAGTTGTCGATTCAATCGATCAAATTGTCTTCCAATTAGCTCAGCCTACAAACAAATATAAAAAAGTTTCCATCTTGACTGAGCTTGCAATTTCTTCTGCCACTTTTATATACTACATACATACATAGATCTATAGAAAGAATCATCGGTATATTTTTTAAAGTAATATTTAATATTACAATAAATAAATCAGAAATTTAAATAGCTACTCCCACAAAGAATATTCATGTTGTATGTATTTAATACCTATTAAAACCTAAGCTGTCTACTTATGTATTTATATACATACATACATACATACATATGAATATCCTCTCATCTTTTGCTTGCAGTTCGTTCTCATTTGTCATGCAATCTATCTAAACTTTTATTTGAGTGGCAATGGAAGTGAAACTTAGATATTCTATAATATCGGCAAACAAATCGGCCAGTCAGCAGAAAAAAAGTTTTTGGAAAACCCATAACCCATGCCGGCAAAGTAAACAATCAAAATATCATTTAAATTCAAATCGCAGAAATTGCATAATTGAAACGCCATTGAAGTCCATTAATAACTTTATTATACAGCCAACGAAATGCAAACAGAGCGAGAGAGAGAGTGATAGAGAGAGGCAGCACTCATATTTCGAGTGGGTGGTGCAGATGGCTGACGTTAGCTCATCAAACCCGAAAAACCACTTTGCTCAACTCTTTTGAAAGTGCATACATCATCAACGCTAAGCCAAAACAAAAAATAAAAGAAGATATAGAAGAGAGCTGGGCGGTCGGAGTGGGCGGTTTGTAGGTGGTTGATGGGTGGCTGAGTGTGTGGCTGCCTGGCAGCAGGCGTGCTGGAAAACTTTTGTGCAATGTTGATTTTTCCGCAAGACTCGCTTTTTTGCCAAGCGCTGGACGTCGAGACAGTCGCAAGGAGAGTGGCGCAAGGACTTCCCGGGAGGGCGAGACAAGAAAAGGGTTGTAAAAGCTGAGGCAAAAGTCTTTCAATAATAAAAATATTGAGGTAGCACAGCAACAAGCGAGAAATATTGAGTGAAAGTTCACAGTTAGTTCGATGCAATCGCATAAATTATGCTAGGCAAATATTTGGGGCTTTAAAAAAATTGATCGAATTGACTTTAAGCTGCGGCCAGTTGGGCAGCCCGCCGCCCGCCGCCCGCACCCCTTTCATCTCTAATGTTGCTGTTGACAAACAAAACGAAGCTCACACAAAGCGCTTTAATGGCTTTTGTGTGTTAAATGAATGAGTGAATGCGAGAACGTTTCCTGTTTTCATTTACAGCAGCCGTCAAAAAGGAGCCCCGCTCTCTCCTTTCCGCTCTATATATCCCGATCCCCCTTTCCCACTCTCTTTGAATGTCCAACAATCCATTAGCTTATATAACTTAAAGGGCCAAGTGCACACACTCGTAGGTAGAAACAGTTACATGCGCTAATCGATAAAGGGCGACTGCTGCCAGAACACCCACTCACACACACACACACACACACACATGTAAGGATGCTGCAAATGTTGCTTGCTACACGTACAACTTCATTCCCATTATTGGGCTTTTCTTACAGCTGCCAAAGCAAAGCTTACTCTCTCACTCTTTGTGTAAGTGTGTGTGTGTGTGTGAGCTTGTAAGAGTGACAATTAAATGTGCATGTGTGCGTGCGTCTGCAACAGTCTGATATGCCTTAAGAGTCTTGCATTTCATGAGCCTTTGTTTTTCAACTTTATGACAATTTATTATGAATTATTGACTTTGGACAATGCATATTTTTTATATATTCTATTTATTTACACTTACTCTTTAAGAATATATTTACTTTAAGAATAGATTTAATGCTTTTATTTACTATTTATTTTCAATGAATTTACTTTTGTTTTAGTTGAACTTTCTGAATCAAACTAATATTTAACATAGTCATGTAAAATCAAAAGAAAAAATCTTTACTATTTAAAATACTTCTTTTTTTGTAAGGGGAAAGCTAACAAAATTGAAGTTTCCACCATTTCTTATATTACGCTTAAAAATAAAAATTCATATAAATGTTGGGCCTGAGAGTTTCTTCTGTTTTCACTGAGAGTCAGACGAGTGAACGGACGTGCATAGTTCTATAGAGTCAGCGCATCGTCCAGATCAAGAATATAAATACTTCCTGGGATCCGCCACGCCCTCTATTATTATTATTCTATTATACATATATTATTCATAACATGCCCTGAATCAGAATTTTCCATGTGCTCGGTGTATTAATAATATTTCAAAAATTACAAATATATTATATTAAATTTCAATAATATGTACCTTACTATAAATACGTATAAATCAATTTCTGTACTCGCTCACCACGCTTATTTCCTCAAACACAAGTGATTTCTGAGCACATATGCCTGATATGTTTATGTTGTTTTATTTTATTTTTTTCAGTTTTTGTTTTTTCTCTCTTGTTTATTTATTTAAGAAACTGCAAGCTTATTTGCCGTTGCCCCAGCCTTACGAGCACAAGCTGAGCACTTCAAATGAGAGCCACTCAGAAACGCATTACCTACAGTCAGTTGTGGAGATCTGGATCCGTGGAGAATTGCAGGAGATTAGGTCAAGTCGAATTAATAATGCCCTATATTTAGAAACTTAACTTTGGATAGAAGTAAATGACTGAATTAATGTTTTCCATAGGGCTCAAAGCAATTAGTTGATTACCCAAAACAATTGATGACTTGCTATCTAGATATTTTTGTCTACAAATAGAAGAAACTGTCAGATTAGATATAGATTTATTTCTGTATATTCAGTAGTTTTCGATTATGGGAACTTTATTACATAAGCTGTTGGTCAACTTGAGATTCTCAAGTTGAGAACTGCCATGAATCATTTTACAATTGTCTAAGCTGAGCAGCCGTAATCTAAGCATACATTAACAGTGCCTTTTGAGCACAACGTCAGGAATTTTTAGAAGGCAAAAGTATACATGTTAAAATGAACAATAGAATATCAATCTTCCATTACAATTGTTTATTTCTTTTAGATTTCTATATATTTTTGATGCTTGCATTAAATTTGTATTCAAATCGTCGAACAATGTTAAACCGTCAGCTAATTAGACGTTCCAGGGCCGTGCCCATGTCATTGCACGCCCTGAAGCTCATTAGGGCGGTGTAGGCAACGAAGTACCTATGTGTGTATGTGTAGATGGATGTATGTATATGTGGATATTACCATGCAGAAAATCAATAGCTCTATTATTGGGGAAGCGAGTGACGCGATTCGACGCGCTGATTGACAGCCTAATTGAGGTTTCTGACTGGCTGTGGCCAACGAACCCACCGACCGCCGACCAACCCAGCTTTGATTGTGCTAATAGGAATATTGTAGTTATAAGCGGTGAAGAAGAAGAGTGCGGCGCCATCCCTGACAGCCCTTAAGACATTCAATATTTGCGGCTGTCTCACACTTGAGTCCGTTTCCGTTTGAATTTTTTATTGATTGAACTGTTTAATGTCAATTGCTGTGCAAATACTAATCAAATGCTTGGTTTACGCAATTAAGAAGCAAACACAATTCAAAACGCCCCTCCACACACACAAGCACACACAAACACACACACTTAGTGCTGGCACGCCCATACAGCGGCATGTAACGCTCTTAATTAGCATTTACATTGCGTGCAACACAGTGCAGCAAAGGACATCAAATTAACGTTCAACACGAATGTGTCATGCACCCCTCGTTCCCCGCCATACCCTGTGCCCTGTTCGTCGATAAATTTTGGCGGAACATCGGTCAAAAACCCTAGCAATGCCCAAGTCTCGAACCTATAACGAATGCAGTTTGTAGCCGGCCCATTAAAAAGTCTCGACTGTGCGCGTCTCGTCTCGTCGCCTCCTCGACCCTTCGCGCCACAAGGCCCTTCACAATTATTCCCAACTTTATTCAGAGTTAAAATACATTTCTCTTTTTCGCTTTTTTATTTGCATTTTGTTATTGAACTTTCAAAGGGTTTTGGCTCTGAACTCAGCTCGGACATGACATAACAAAAGCTTCGTGAGAAAAGTTCACGAATATTTGATTTGAAACCATTTTTATTTTATTTTTTTCAGGTATTTATTTGTTTGTTTGCTGCATGGTTCAATGTGCCTAGAATGGCTCGTTAAAAAGTTCTAGGCATTCGACTATAGTAATTGAAAACAATTAACAAAGGGTAAAAAATGTATGTAAAATCGGCGCAGAAATCGATTTAAAAATGCGATTGATTTTAGGCTGCAATAATCAGAAGGGATATTTAAAAAAAATTATTCGTTTCACCTTCAAAAAATATTAGCAGAATTCCCAAATGAAATCGCAGGCAGAATTTTGTATAGTTCAATATTCAATAATGATTAAAATACTTCGATAAAGTCTATAAAGTGGTCTTATATTAGTTATGCTTTTCATAGAATATAAAATTAATATGAAA